AAAAAAAAAAAAAAAAAAAAAAACCGAACGCGCTACGCCCTTTTGGGGCTCGTGAGTAGAGGTAAAACGGGAACAGCCCAAGAGATGGCGGTAGGGTGCTGTTGAGTAGATGCCTTTAATCTTATTTATTATTTTAAATTTAGGGATATCTATGCGGAAATGTTTTTCTTCCCTTAGCCTATGGAATTTGTTTGTTTGAAGTTGAGCCCAAAGCTACACAATGGGCTATCTGTGCTCTGCCCATCACGGGTATCGAAACCCGGTTTCTAGCGTCTTAAGTCCGCAGACATACCGCTATTTTTACTGTGGAGCAGCCTTTGGGAAAAACAAATGGTGACGTTGGTAAATTCAACAACAGTGCACGTGCAAAAATTCTTATAGCTTTGAATTTATTAATATAATCAGACAGGAAAGTTTTAGCCGATTGTAGAGATTGATTGAACTAAAACCAAAAATTCGAAATATTCTCTTTAGTTAACTTTCTTGTAAGAGTCATTGTGGTCAACGATTTGTTTGTCCCTAATTTTGAACTGCTGACCACAGGAAACATAACCAGTCGGCCCATCGCCAACTCTTGAGCTACTCTTTATCAAAATAGTGGAACTGACCATCACAATATAAAGCCCCTACGATTGAAAGGACGAAAATGTTCAGTGTCGGGTTTTGACCCAGTGCCCCGCAGATTAAGAGCCAAGCACCCTAACAACAGGCTGTTCAAGATTTTTATTAAATCAAATTATTTCCAAAATTAGTTAAGGTAACTAACAAACATATGTTTTAAATCATCATTCTACCCCATGAGCTTGTGATAATATAGCTCAGATTTCAGTGTTTATTTAATTTTTGTCCTTTACCGCTTTAATGTCAAATAGTTTGGGGTCGGCTGGTCCAGTCGGCAATGATATAAGACGCACATATTCGGTGACGGAGATTCGAACTCGCGATTCTCATGATTGGTAGGCGAGCACCTTAACCATAAAGCAATGCCAAGCCTTTTAGCGTTTATTTAAACAAAATAAAAAAATTAATCAATCTTCAAGACATCACCTTTCCAACGCCTTGCCCTTAATATTTGTAACAATAAAAAACTACTGAATGTGGTGCAAATAACCAAAGTTTTGTCAACTGTATACTATTTTAAGCCAGGCATGGCCAAGTGGTCAGGGCGCTCGACTCGCATCCCCGTCACACCAAACATGCTCGCCCTTTCAGCCGTGGGGGCGTTATAATGTGACGATCAATCCGACTATTCGTTGGTAAAAGAGTAGCCCAAGAGTTGGCGATGGGTGGTGATGACTAGCTGCCTTCCCTCTAGTCTTACACTCGTGTAGCTTTGCGCGAAATTCAAAACAAACAAAATATACTATTTTCACAATTCTACACATACATAGAGAGGCCAGTGGAAGATTTTGCTTGGCTTTCTCAACACTACTTCCCATTTCAAATTCACAGTGGTGTTGACAGTAGGAGGATTTAGTCTTCTACTCTCTCTTTCTCCAAGCCGATTAACAGGCTTTCTACGACAAGATGAATGAGTGTTGTTGTTTTGTTATCCTTAAACTGTAGCATGCTTTAAAATGTATTTTCGTGGTTATATAACAACTATCGATATACAAAAGTAGAGAAAAAACGCACATCCTCAAAGCTTGAAAAATTGAAATAATTCTTTATATTAGTTTTTTTCTTGTCTTGCTAGATTTCTTTTTAAGATTCATACTGACTCTTTCTAGAAGACTGCAGCGTGCAACAGCAGTAGGTGTAGCAGAGGTTTTTCTTTTACTAAAACTTCGAAATATATATATTCTTCAGGCTCGGAGCATGGCTTCATTTTTATGTATGACGCTTTCGTATAGTGTCACGCTCCACATGGCCAGGTGGTTAGGATGCTCGACTCTCGCATTCTGAGGGTCGCGGTTTCGAATCCCCGTCACACCAAACATGCTCGCCCTTTCAAATGTGATGGTCAATCCCACTATTCGTTGGTAAAAGAGTAGCCAAAGAGTTGATGGTGGGTGGTGATGACTAGCCGCCTTCCCTCTAGTCTTTCACTGCTAAATTAAGGACGGCTAGAGCAGATAGCCTTCGTGTAGCTTTGCGCGAAATACCAAACAAACAAACCAAACAATCAGAGCTTTTGGTCATAATTTTTGTTAAAATCTGTTACACATTGCTAGCTATATAATACACGGATTAAACTCCAGTAATGTGTCTGCATTTCTGTTTCTTATGCTTAATTTTGTTTTAGAGCAAAGCAACGTTGGGAATCTATGCTGTATTCATCGCGTTGAATCGAACCCGGGATTTTAGCGTTTTACGTCCGTAAACCTACTGCTGTCCCACGGAGGGCGAATAATTTTCTAAACACAATTATCCACACAATAATATAATTATTTCTTTATTTTTAAAAGTTCATTAATTAAATTATTGGACTAGAATTAAGATCAGATTTGACGTTTTCGCAATAACCAGTATATGAAAGTTTCTTTGATAGGAGTTAAAAAAAAAACAACGTGAAAACAAAGGAAGTGAAATACACAACATTAAAAATACACTCTTCGAAAGGAACACGAATTATTAAAAAGTACTTCAACAATTGTCACA